GAACGAGCTCAGTGGACACAGAGAGGAAGGTCTGAGGGACATTTCCAGGTAGGAGGGGAGGATTTAACGAGTTTAATGTCAGGAATGAAGGAGAGGCATGGGTTTCCCCAGTGGGAGAGATGGTAGCTAACAGTGTCTGCCCACCGTGACCACTCACCAATCCTGGAAAATACCATCCACGTTCATCCACCTCGATGCCTTTATTCCTGATGTTGTCTCCCCCGTGGGACCTTCCTTGGTGAATTCCCATTCCTGTGACCCCACGTAATAGCACTGCTGCTGTAGGGAAATCAGATGCCATTGGCAGCACTGGGCTTGCAGGGCGTGGATCCCGAGCATAACCCCCAGGAGGGAGAACCACCTATACCAACCGTATTCAGGAGCCCCTCCGAGCACCGCCATCCCCTACTGCAACCCACGGGGGGAGCTGTAGGCTGAATCACTTCCAATATATTGATTGTAAACTTGGCCAAAGAATATAAAGCTAGCATCTCATGCTGCATCTATTTCTTGAAGACAAAGGCTAACCTCCAAGTGCCAGAAATGTGCTTGGAACAATGCTTGTTGTGTTTCACTTCCCAAGGCTTAGATTTCTTGTTTTCTGTAAAATATAGTATTAGATACCGGGAGGGGGGGGAGCGGGGGCGGGGGGCTTTGTATGAAAGGGTACCGTCTACATTCTTCACATTGAAAACCTGCTTAGAGTGGTTTTCCTGCTCGGCAGCAGCCTTCGTGAATGTTCTCTTGTTTGTGGCCACATTTTGAATTCAGCTGAAGGGTCCTGCTTGATGGTGGGGATGGGGCTCCGGCTGGTTAAGTCGCTCATCCCTGGTATCTGATGCTGAGTGATGAGAAGTGTGAATGATGGAAGGAGTAGACAGCTGGTTAGTGGCTGAGCTGGGCCAGGTGTGCTCGGTGTATGACTTGGTTAGCTGTGGGGTAGGAGGACTGGCATCTCCCCTAACTCATTGCTTTATGGCAGCAGCTGAACCAAAGGAGGTGACCTCTGCCCAGGCCTGACCCACATGAGGAAGAGGACCAAGACTAAGGGGACACCACTGGAAATGACCAGAAAAGGTACCACTGGCAGGGCACGGGAGGGGAAGAGATGCCTCTGGGGAACCTGAGCCTCAACCCCCAGCAACCTCTAGTGCCCTGTCATGGCCTGTGATCACCAGGCTTCTGGGCTGACCCGGAATCACTCAAGTCTGAGAGTCCACAGTTGATGGGGGTAGAAAAATGGACAAGTCAGGTGGCAGCATCCTCACCCCTTCTGGGAGCATTCCCCGTACAAGGGTAGCACAACCAGCACTAGGGAACTGGCTTCCCATGGACTGACTTTGCAAACTGCAAAGCAAAAGTCAATTCAGAGGCAAAGGGCAGGATGTTTGTTTCAGGTGTGCGACCTTGCCCAGAGCTTCCTTAGGTAAACTGAGGTATGCGAAGGCCTGGGAACTGTCGACAGGGTGACAGCCAGGCCCCTGAATCTGTGTTCTTTGTCCGAGATGGGAAAAGAGGTAAAAAATCTCCCCGGGTGGTTTTGACCCTTGGGCTAGAGCCAGGGTTGGGAAAGTACAGCCTGTTGGCCAAAGCCAGGCTACCGCCTGTTTTCTGTGTGACCCTTGAGCTAAAAATGGTTCTTACGGGTCAACGTTTGCAATCGATTTGATGATAGGGAGTGCTGACTTCGAACCCCAGTTAAATGAAGTGTTATCTTTCCCAAAACAGAATTTCAGGCTTTTCATTAGCAGACTGGTGTTACCCACCAACCAGCCAACAAAAACAAAACTGTATTCAATCATCATGATTATATTTTGAATTCTACCAATAAAAAAATTGTGGGAATTCATTCTCTCTTTTGTTATAGAAATACCCAGGTAATATTCTCCATTTTGCCCTCTTGGCCTACAAAACCTAAAAGACTTCCCACCCAACCCTTTACAGGAGAAGGTGGCTGACCGCTGCACTAGAGCCGCTCCAGTCCCCATGTGCTCAGGCACCGGCAGCAATGGCTCACCCTGGGAGCGTGCTAGGAATGCAGAGTCTCAGGCCCCACCAGCCCTCCGGTGTCAGAATCTGCTTTTTGACAAGCTCCCTGGGTGGTGTGTGTGTGCGTGTGTGATGTTTGAGAAGCACTGCCCTGGAGTCTGTGTGGGAATGTCCCAGAGTGACTGATAGCCTCATGAGGCCCCAGCCTGGGAATGGGCGCTAGCACCCTGTGGGTACCCCAGGGTGGAAGCCCAGCCTCTCTCACTGGGGGGTGCTGCTCCTCTAGGAAATGCCCCAATGCTGGCCATTGAAAGCTTGGCACACAGGAGGCTGGGGGCGCACACCCCAATCCTAAAAGGCCACCTTCTACAGTCTCTGGGACCTTAGTTTTCCCATCAGCATAATGAAGGGGCCTGAGGAGCTGACATCCAAGTCCAGTACGGTTTGGTCACATGGCCTGGTTTTGTGTTTCTTTTTTGTTTGTTTGTTGCTTTCTGTTTTGGTTTGGGGGTGTTGACAGGATCGTTGGTTCTGTAACTATGGCCGCTTGTAATGAAAAAGGGACCAGTGCTCGTGTAGATTCCAGAGAGAGCAGTGCATTAAGATATTGGATTTGTGCGTCATTTTATGTGGAACGTCTTCTGTCAGGTTGGTGACTCTTTCTAGTTCTAGTTAGAAGTAACAGAAGAAGATGCTTGGGAATCAGATCTGGGGAAGTGTGTATCTCTGGGGCCTGGATGGCTTGATGGTTTCTGATCAACCCCATTGAATGAGGCTCTGGGGCCCGCCATGAATTCACTAGCGGAGGCCATCTTTATTGGCTGTCCTCTTGTGGTCGGCATCTGGGAGCCACAGAGATGTGGCTGTGACACATGACAGGCACAACTCCGCCCCCCTGGGGCTTGCATGCCACTGAGCGAGGCAGACTTGAAGTAGTACCTTCAAGCCAAAGGGGAAAAGATGGAAGAATGTTCCAGCCTAAGAGAAAAGCATGTGCAAAGCCCTTGTGCCAGGAGGGAGCATGGCTGTTTTGAGAAATGACTACAACCGGAAGCCAGTGTGGCTGAGGGTCCGTGGGGGCAGTGGGGGAGGAGTGGGAGATGAAGCCGGGGGGCTTCACTCACCTCTCTGGGCCTCCTGTTTTTTCTTGAAAATGAGTTTCAACTAGATAATCTCTAAATAGGAGAACGATATAGTTTATTGTCCTAACCAGGACACTCTTGAGAGTGAAAGGGGGAGCAATTAATAACTACACCAGGACAACAGGAGTAAACCAAGTCAGTCTCGGAAACCAGGACTAGAAATCCCTGAAAATCTCTGCTCCAAACCCCAAGTGTCCTCACTTCCGGTTCAGTGCTCCATCTATCTACAGTTCCCTTATGGATTGGGACCTGAAGTCAACCCATTTGTAAACAGAACTGCATGGATCCAAGGTGTCTGGTGAATTCAACTCCCAGCTCACTAAGAACATTATAGACATCCATTTTGCTCCCAAAGCACTTTTTTCCCCACTGCATTGACACTATTTGCAGGCAGCAGAAAGAGGACCTGTTTCAGCCCTTGGAAGGGTGGGATCACTGGCGAACGCAGGGGCTGGCTGGGCCTCAGTCTGTCTCTGATCATTGATGATGCCAGGTGTATGGAGGTGGGGGTTGGGGGGAAAGGCAGATGGAACAGGAGTGCCCCCAGAGCGGGACTGGCCACTATATCCTGGTTAGGCTCAGGGCTCTCCACAGGCTACCTGCTGGTCAAGGAATTATCGTGTTTGATATTAAGTAGAATCCAGTTTATCTTAACGGGAAAAGCAAATAGGATTTGGAAATAGGAATAGGAAATTCAGGTTCACCTCAGGGTCACACACCACTCACCAGCTGGTGACCTTGGACAAGTCACTTACCTCCTGATCCCCAGTTTCCTCATCAGTAAATTTAGATATTACCACCCTTTGAGGCTATAATTAGGATCAAGTCGAGTCCACAATATGAAAGTATTTAGCAAACTATGAAGTTTTTTTGAACTCTTAACTTTGAAGTATTACAGACTTACAAGTTACAAAAAGAATTCCCATGTGCCCTTAGCATCCTCAAATGTTGACATCTGATGTAATCACAGTTCAGTGATCAGAATCAGTAGGTCAACATTGAACAACACTATCAAACTAAGCTGTAGACCTTGAATTTCACAAAATGTTCTAACTAATGTTTTGTGGGTTGTTTTTTTTTTTTTTCTTGTCCAGGATCTGGTCCAGTTTCTTTAGTTGTGATACCTCTTTCTGTTTTTCTAATCTGTAACAGGTCCTCAGTTTTCCATTATCTTTTATGACCTTGACACTTTTTTAAAAAAAGATTTATTTCTTAGAGAGAGAGCATGTGAGCAAGGGGGCGGTGGGGCAGAGGGAGAGAGAGAATCTCAGGCAGACTCCACACCTAGCACGTGGAGTCCGACGCGGAGCTCAATCCCAGCACCCTGAGATCATGACCTGAACCAAAATCAAGAGTCGGATCCTTAACCCACTGAGCTGCTCGGCGCCCCAAGCGCATGCGCTTTAGAGTCAAATAGAACTAGGCTCATAGTTGAGCTCTTCCACTCTATAAATGCACAAACCCCTTTGGGTCTCAGCTTCTTAATAAATCAAGTGGGAATAATTAAACTCCCCTTGAGGCTGTTGTGAACATTGGGTGACACAGAGTCTGCAAACAACCTGGCCCGGGGCCTGGCTCACAGGAGGTGCTCCAACAGGGTAGCCAGTCCTGACACCCATGCACTGTCCATCGCTGTCAGCCGTGCGCCCAGGCTTCAGGATGGACACGTGACTCCACCTCTCGCAGCCAGGGCCCTGCAGAACAGAAGGCCTTCTGAGAGATGGTAGGATGATTTGGGTCTATCTGTTATCCTGCTCTCATTTTTGTGTTTGGGAATTCGTTAAGAATTCATTTTGATGAATCCCAAATGCATGCACCATGAAAAACAATTAGCATTAATAGTGTAAAAGAAGGAGATCAATAAATAGATTCATTTTTAAACTGTAATAATTTATTTGCTTCCTGACTTTTGGGAAATACTGCATCTTCGGGTGACACACCGACCTTTAAGTAGCCGAACCCTGATGATTTGTGACAGGAGGGCTGCTACGCGGGGCGCACACCCAGCTCTGGAGCGCACGACACCAGCGACCAACAGCACCAGTGGGCAGGCGTGGAAGCAGCCCCTTCCAGCAGACATCGTGCCCTGACAAACCGTTCATCAGGCGTGTCTCATCCTTACACACTTCCCGAGCGCAGCACAGCAGATGGTAGAAATTAAGGAGACCAGTATACCGAAGACGGGGAGGGAAAATCTGGCATTCATCAGACGATGAGCAGGGAAAGGAAGAAAGAACTATTTGAAGAGGAGCTGCTGAGGCTCTAAGACACAAGACGTGCCGCGTCAGGGTCTCCCTTGCAGCAGGAAGGCACGGGAAAGAATGTCTGGGTGCAGAGACAGGAGGTGATCCGAGACCTATCAGGAGGGAAGGGGCAAAAGCAATGAGACTGCATAGACATGGAGGGAAGAAGAGAGAGAGCCAGGGCCCCCTCCTCCCTTGCTGTGGAGTGGAGGGCTGATGCCGTCATCCTTTCTCGTGACCACGAATGAAACACAATGACCTTGTACTCCTGGCACCTAAGACGCCGGAGCGGCAGGAGCTCAGCGCCGAAGGAGGCGAGGGCTTGCTTAATAGAAAGGGGCAGTGGGGTGCGAGTGGGACTGCAGCCCTGCTCTTTTGCAGCCCCAAGGGGGGGTAGCAGCAGGGAGACCAGCGTGTGGGTTCTCTCCGCCCGGGAGGACAGCGGCACCAGGCTAGGGCTCGGGACTCCGGACAGACGGATGGCACAGCCCATGGTGCCCGGGGGGCCATCTGGCGGCTGCTGGGCCAAGAGGGCAGCGGGGCAGACAGCGGCCTGGTTTGCGGGTGGCTGCAGATGGCCAGCAGCATGCTCCCCCCCCCCCCGCCCCGCCAGGCTGGGGGCTGGGGGCCAGCACAGATTACATTTTCAGGTGATAGTCATCTTTGACCTTTGGGACCTCTGGGGCCACTGGTCATCCATCTTAGAGCCGCTGACTAGCAACCTCTGGCTATTTTTATGGCCAGCAAACATTGCCCATTGATTGAATTGATTGAAATCTGCATCTGGTTCGTGGGGAAAGGACACAGCCTCACAGCCCGAACGTGCAGCGGTGTTGTCTGTGGTCTTCTGCCCTCTCCTCCCCTCTTCCCTCTCCCTGCGCGGAAGTGTGCCTGGAAACAGGGCACACGTGGAGGCGCGCGCGCACGCGCACACACACACACACCCCAAGCACACAGCCACACACACCCGCAAACACACACCTGTACGCACCACCACTCCTACAGACACACACTTACCACATTCTTTTCCAGCACGTTCCCTGGCATGGTGCTCATTTCCTGTCAGAAGTGAAAGGGCTCCTCAAAGGACTTCAGCTGAGAAAAGCAGAGGAATGTTTAACTCAAGGGGAGTCCACACAAACCCACACACTCATCTATAAAAACACGCACTTGGGAGCTTGGAAAATAAAAAAACAAACAAAACATATCCGGAATAAAAAACATGTCTGGTGATTTTGCAATGAGTCAGCTTGGCTAAGCGGAACACTGTTTCCCATAATTCCCTTCCCTGCATGTTTAGGGTGAAATTTAGGTGAGATAAGTGCCGGAAGGGAGGCAGGCCTCATGACTATTCTGGAAGGTTCCCCCTTCCCCCTGCTTCCTGTCCCAGCCCCCTCCTCCCCTGAGGAACCAGAGCCTCCTCCCTGGTGTGGGGCTGGCGGGGGCCGAGGGCCTGGGGAGCCCTTTATCTGGACCAATTGGGTTGGGTGGTTGGGAGGTGCCCATGTGGTGACAGTGGCCGCTATAGGGTGAGCCTCGGTAGGGTCACAAGATCCTGGAGCCCCACCCCAGACTGGGGAGATGCGCTTCTGTTTAAGCCTTTGATCTAATGCCAGGTTGAAGATAGATGCCAGGGGATTGGCTCCTGCAAACAAAACAAAAAATAAAACAAACAAACCAAAGGGAAAAAAAAGAAAAAAGAAAAAAACGAGTGGCAAGGGAATTTTGTTAGTGGGAAATAAGGTAAATTGGCAGCCAGGAGCCTGGGCCACGTGGCACTGGACAGGGACCCCGAAGATGGCAGCAGGCAAGGGGCCTCACAGTCTGCAGGAGAAGTGGGGTGTGGCCCTTTCCCAAGCCCTGCTCCCCTGGGACCCAGCCCTGCCAGGATACACAGGTCACCTCCAAGGACACCAAGATGACACCTCCTATTCTGTGGCCTCCAGCGACCAGGTGGCCCTCGGAGTCGGGCTGGCTCCAATTTGTACACTGGTTCAAATCCCAGCTCCACCGGTTTCCGGTTATTGTGACGTTGGACATTAGTTACCCCTGTTACCCTCAGTTTTCCTTTCTGTAAAATGGGCACTATGGTACTTATCTCCCATGGGGCTTGTGAGAACTATCGAAGCTGACGCGCCCAGTCCCTGCCTTTCCCTGCCTCTGTGGCAGGGTGTCTCGGCCACCACACTTCCAGCAGTTTGGGTGACTAGTTCTTGGCTGTGCAGGGCTGTCCTGCGCGGTCTGAGATGTTTTGCAGCATCCCTGCCCTGGGCTTACTAAATGCCAGTCATACCTGGTTCTGACATCCATCAGGGTCACAGACACTGCCAGGCGTCCCCTGGGTCAGACTGCCTGCTGGAGAGGCTCTGCAGTGGGGAGGCCAGCCGGTCTCCATGGGAGGGGTGTGCGAGGCAGAAGGCGCTACCTTCAGCGACTGTTCTCCCCCTGCAAACTGGGACTCCTGGCATGGCCTTTGGCTTCTCGTTCCCTCGTCTGTAAAACGAGGATAATAATATTCCCATCACAACGGGGGATCACAATGTGACAGTGTTTGTAATTCGAGTGTTTGAATGGAAGGCATCGTCACCATTGGAATGGTGGCCCCTGAGGACAGGGTTTTGAATGCCTCATTCACAGGAGGCCCTGGGGAAACAGGCCCCCAGTGAGAGCGAATGTTCCTTGCGCTGAGCTGCCGTGGGGTCTGGTGAGGCGGCTGCGCCCTCCGACTCCATCAGCAATGAAAGTCGATGAAATTGATTCCTCCATGACCTTTGACCCTGCAGCAGGGCTGTCATCAGGAGGTTGGTCTCAAACTGGAGTGTGCACAAATCCACGGGAGGCTTATCAGCAGCCAGCTTCCCAGCCATGCTGCTGGAGAGGGCTCTGGGGTGCAGGAACCTGCATTTAGACAGGGGTCCCCCTTGCAAGCCAACTCCAGTGCACAACCACCCCCACTGTCGCCACTCGGTGGGGGGGGGGGGGGGAGCAGTGGCCTCCCTGGCCCTTGGGCAGAGGTCCGTGGTGCTCCCATTAGAGCAGCCTGCAGCTTTCCAGCCCTGCCCTCTGGCTACAGCTGGGGGGCATCATCTGCCCTCTGGCTACAGCTTGGGGGCTACAGGACGATGCGTTCCAGGGCATTCCGGGACATCCACGTTTGCCCGGGATCGGGCACCCCACAGGCTAAGCAGCCCTCCCTAGCAGGCTTAGCCTTCCCCACATCTCCCATCAAGGGGCATCCGTGTGGAGCCCACCCAGCCTCTCCCCAAGTACACAGGGCGCCCCGACGCCATGCACCCAGAGCCTGGGGCCCAGGACCGCCCGTGGCCACTGCGGGGCTTTCCGTGCCTGGGATTGGCTTTCTGATGGGCTTTATTTGTTGTCTTGCTTTTTTGAAAAAAATAGCTGAAGGGGTACGAGGGTCAGGAGCATGGGCTCTGCCTTTGGATGCCACAGCGAGGCCCTCCAACACCAGCTGGGGCCTACCGGCCCCGCAGGCTCTCTTGTCACTGCTCTGACCATCCTCGAAACGCTGGCCTTCCTTGGGCACGGTGAGTCCTCTGGAAATTTGGTTTAAAAAGCGTATGTCTGGACATTTGTAAGCACTCTCTAAGCTGTCCCCAGAGCCCCCCTTGTCCCCTTGCATGTAAAATCCTCGCTGCAGCTTTACACCTGCTGAGAAGTCCACGCTGTCAGATTCTAAAGCGCCCCGCATGCAGGGAGGCCCTGCGGCCTCTCCCCAGCCTCCTTGTTCTGCTCTTCTTAACGGGAACCCACAAGCTCCAGGAAAACACAGCATAGTAACCTCAAGGAAGAACCCTGCAATTTTTTTGTCTTCTATTCAGAAGCCCAAGTTAAGCTCCTCAGTGTTCTTGAACAGCTTCCAGTGTAACTCTCTGTCCCCGGCCTCACCTAGGGCTCAGGAACAGCTAGCTGCAGGCCCCTGCAGTCACGGGGATGAGCTCGCCTTGACACAGGGCATCCAGGCGGCCAGGGGCTGGTGCTGGATGAGCTGATGGGTGGAAACTTCTCGTGCAATGGGGTGGAGCGGCCCCAAAGCCTCTCTGTGCTGAGGATTTGTGTCCCTCAAGTGGATGGAGGTGCAGGGGTCCACGCTTCGGGCTTGCTGTTTTCAAGACCCCATTTCTGTCCCAAACAGGGCCTTCCCTCCATGGGCAGGTTTTCTTCCCTGTGGGAAACTGCGGCATTTAGAGACAAACTTCTTCTTTTCGTCTAAACTTTCTATTTTGTCCTCTTCTTTACTCATAAACCACATTGCCAGGCACTCCTCAGCCTTGAAAATACAAGGGGTAGAAAGGAGAGCTCTCGGATCGGGTGGGCACTTGCCCCGGTCCCTGCTTGACTCCTGTCATCGACATGGCACAATGGAAGGGGTTATCAATGTGGGTTTGCTCCTGATACTTGGGGCAGCAGGGTGGCATGTGGGGTTCCACTACGAGAGTTCTTCCTGCTTCTGAACCACACTCAGTCCCCTCTCTGGGTCCACCTAGACAAGGGCAAAGGTCAGCAGTCTAGCTCTCAAACCTCCTGCCCTCCAGGGAAGGATTCCTAGCTCCATGCCATGGCCTTGGCCTTGGCTCTGACAGTTGGACCTGGGAGTGGGATCAGGAGGTGTCACCTGGAGGAACAGAGAGAGAGATGGGGTAGGGTTCACAGACCAGCCCTGGGGAACAGCAAACAGGGCCAGCTTCAGGAAGCAGATGGAGACCCAGGCTGGGACCGACACTGGGCGTTACATGTGGGCCAACTTACAGAGCACAGTCAGACATCCCCAGTGGCGGCAGATGAGTCAGGTGGGCCAGGATGGCAGCCATTGGGACCCAGTGGTATGCGTATGATTTTGGAGTGAATTCGAACCTAGGTGGACATCCACTCACTTCCTGCCAGGCTCAGAGGGGAATGAATGGCACCCCACTCCTGCCTACAAGAGGTGGGCTGAATTTAGGTTCTGACACCAGAGAAAGCACCTTAGTGAAAGCCCAGAGAAAAAAAAGCAGATGGCTTCCCCTAAATTAAACCTCAGAGAGTAGAACTCTAAAGGATTCCAGGGATCCTCTCATTCAACCTTGCAAACCAAGGCCCATGGACACAAGTGTCTTAGGCCCCACGACACAGTTGGCTAGTGGCCTAGGGGCTCCCCGGCTCCACTCGGTTCACAGCGCCGTCAAGCCTGATGCCACTTTACACGGCAAATATCTTATAATGACCTTTTAACTATCTCGATATTAAGCTTCTAGATAATACAACTTCCCTATATACATAATAAAAAAATCAATATAATGCCCTACATGTAATATAAGGGAGAAATAAAAGGGAAGTAATTCGTAATGAAGTAGTTCAATAAGTAAATACACAGCACAACCAGCCTCACGATCACCGCGCATGCCGTAGCTCCAAATGAGGGCGGCTAGAGATTTGTTGCATTAGTGACTTCAATACCTTAAGTATTGTTGCTATTGATTATGTGATTTTCTGAAATGGTAAACAACTCTTAGAGAAGTTACGCCCAAGACAGGGTCCGATCTCCACTCTTTGGGGAAACTGAAGCCCAAGTGTCCTGGAAAACAGGACAAGGCACGGATAGAGCGAGGAAGAATTCTATAGGAGGTGCCGTCACAGGGCAGCAGCAGCAGAGGCTGGAAAGCCCTACGGGATGATGCGTTCCTGAGTCACTCACTTCTCAGACACTTCGCTAGGGGGCTGAGGACGCTCAGCTCCACAGGAAGTCTCTGGAGAGACTAGATGGGGAAATCACACGTCAGAAGAGTCCCCTGGGGGCGCCTGGGTGGCTCAGTCAGTTAAGCGTCTGCCCTCGGCTCAGGTCATGATCCCGGGGTCCTGGGATCGAGACCCACGTCGGGCTCCCTGCTCCGCGGGAAGCCTGCTTCTCCCTCTCCCTCTGCCCGCCACTCCCCATACTTGTGTGCTCTCTCTCTCTCTCTCTCTCTCTCTCTCTGTCAAATACATATATAAAATCTTAAAAAAAAAAAAAAAAAAGCCCCCTGGGAGAAGCAAGGGACTGGGAATCCTCATACCCCTTGGCTGAAGTTGGGTCCTGGGCAAGTTAAGCTCCTGCCCTCTGGGTTATGTCCTTTGGTCCCCAAGACAACCACACCCTCTGGAGTGTGGCCTTTGATCAGA